TGTTCTTTTGCATAAACAAGAATGGCATTTCATCTTTTAAAAAAATGGGATACAATAGTAATTTCTTTATGACAAAATTATGGTAATTTTCCTTGGCCTAAATAATACGCCACCAAACTTTCGGGCCGAAGGGGGATAATTAGCAGGTAAACGGGTTATAATCTTAATCATTGGATTCGTTAATCTATCCACTTCAACGTGATAGAACTGAAATGAGGTAGAAGGAAGGAGGGAGGGAGAGAGAGTGAGAAAGGGAGAGAGGAGAGACACTTCTGTCTCTATCTCTGTCTCCCTGTTACTCCCACTTTTTTTCCCACCTTCTCTCTCCCTCCCATTCCCAGTCCTCCCTCCTGTTCCCCTCTCCCACCCCTTCCACACCCCTCTCCCCCCTCTCCCTCCTACTCCCCTCTCCCACCCTTCCCAACCCCTCTCCCACCCTCTCCCTCCTACCCCCTCTTCCCCCACCCCTCTCCCACCCTTCCCCCACACTCCTCTCCAACCTTCCCCACCCCTTCTTCCCACACCCTTCCCACACACGACCCCTTCCCCACCCACCCCTTACCCCTCTCCCACCCCTTCCCACACCCCCTCTCCCTCCACAACACAGACCCTGACACCCTCAACGAATGACCCCCCCCCTTTGACCCTATTCCCAGGGCACGAGGGGACACACGCCAGGCCCTCGAGAACCTCCTGGCGGCGAGGCCCGAGCGAGAGAAAGGGGAAACAGGATCGCCAACGGAAGAGGAACCGGCCGGAAAAAGAAAAAAAAAAAAAAAAATGATAAAAATGGTTTTCTGGAAATGAAATGCGAGACTGAGGACGAGTGCTGGAGGAAATGCTCGGCGATCTTGTGGATTCCGTTTGAGATTTAACTATTTATCTGTCGATTTATGCGGTGGTATTCATTTCGTCATTTGTCAATACATCTGTAAATCGTCTTATTTTATTGTATCAATTTATTTATCTCTCTATATACTTTCATCATTTCATTGTATTGCATTCATTAGTTGATGGTTATTGTGAGGATTTTTGATCTATCTTTATCTATATACATTTATGTATCTTTGTCTATAATTTCACGTATACATTTACATATTTTTAGTTATATATTCTATCCATTCATTTATTCATCATTATCATCTGCCATTAATGTTTTTTTAAATAAATAATCGTTTTCATTTGTCTTCAGCGAAGTGTAGGTCCGTCATCATTATCATCTTCCATTAATTTTTTTTTTTTTTTTTTTTTAATAAATCATCGTTTTCATATATCTTCAGCGAAGTGTAGGTCCGTGGAAGCACAGCGAAACGAGAGCGGATTAACGAACGTTACGCAAGGACCTACGACGCACATATTACAGCAAGAGATGAAATAAAACATTTTTTTTTTTTGAGGAAATTTTGTCATCTTCAAGCACCGAATCGGACACGATGACACTCGGAACACCTGGTATTTTTAGAGTACCTGCGACCCGGTGTCATAATTACAGGACCCAGCGACCTCTTGTCACCGTCTGACCTTTGTGACCTCGCCTTGTCATCAGCCGTGACACCTCCCCCCCCTCCCCTCGCCTTCCGGTCTGACCTTGACGACTCCAAAGAAGAGGTCGACGGAGTATTTCCGACGATTCCCGACTTACGATTTTGTCCTCGCCTCTCTAGGAAAAAAGGACGAAAACACGTACATATATGCGAGCACGGACGAAAGGAAGGACGAAAACACACACACACACACAGAAAAAATGCATACACACATATATAGATACATTCTCTCTCTCTCTCTCTTCTCATCTCTCTCTCTCTCTCTCTCTCTCTCTCTCTCTCTCTCTCTCTCTCTCTCTCTCTCTCTCTCTCTCTCTCTCACACACACACACACACACACACACACACACACACACACACACACACACACACACACACACACACATATACACACACACACACACACACACACCACACACTCTCTCTCACACACACACACACACACACACTCACAAACACACACACACAACACACACAACAAACAAACAAAATTTTGAACCAAACAACCCCCCCCACTTCCGCTCCCTCCCCCAAAAAATTATGTTTACGTGCGTGTGCGTCTATATAAAATAACTCCCCCCCCGCCCAACAGTCAAGAATGGCCCTGGAAGTTCTTGGTCTCGGGTGTCGCCTTTCGAGGAAGCGCACCGGTCTGGCCACCCCGAGGAGCCCGCCACAGGAAAGGCTGGTTTCGAATGCAGGTGGATCGCGGAGGGGAAGAAAAATATGGCGGCCCTTTTTTTTCCCCTCCCGCCGTCGAGGGGAAAAATGGCGAGCCTATTTTTTTTTTGCTTCTCACCGTTGAGGGGAAAAATGGTGAGCCTTTTTTTTCCTTCTCATCGTCGAGGGAAAAAATGGCGAGCCTTTTTTTTCCTCCCGCCGTCGAGGGAAAAACTGGTGAGCCTTTTTTTTCCTTCTCACCGTCGAGGGAAAAAATGGTGAGCCTTTTTTTTCCTTCTCACCGTCGAGGGAAAAATGGTTTTTTTTTCCTTCTCACCGTCGAGGGGGAAAAGCCTTTTTTTTCCTTCTCACCGTCGAGGGGAAAATGGTGAGCCTTTTTTTTTCCTTCTCACCGTCGAGGGGGAAAATGGCGGCCTTTTTTTTCCTTCTCACCGTCGAGGGAAAAAATGGTGAGCCTTTTTTTTCCTTCTCACCGTCGAGGGGGAAAATGGCGGCCTTTTTTTTCCTTCTCACCGTCGAGGGGAAAAATGGCGAGCCTTTTTTTTTTCTTCTCACGTCGAGGGGGAAAATGGCGGCCTTTTTTTTTTCCTTCTCACCGTCGAGGGAAAAATGGCGGCCTTTTTTTTCCTTCTCTCGTCGAGGGGAAAAATGGCGAGCCTTTTTTTTTTCCTTCTCACCGTCGAGGGGGAAAATGGCGGCCTTTTTTTTCCTTCTCACCGTCGAGGGGAAAAATGGTGAGCCTTTTTTTTCCTTCTCACCGTCGAGGGGGAAAATGGCGGCCTTTTTTTCCTTCTCACCGTCGAGGGAAAAATGGGAACCGTCGAGGGGGAAAATGGCGGCCTTTTTTTTCCTTCTCACCGTCGAGGGGGAAAATGGCGGCCTTTTTTTTCCTTCTCACCGTCGAGGGGAAAAATGGCGAGCCTTTTTTTTCCTTCCCACAGTCGAGGGAAAAAATGGCGAGCCTTTTTTTCCCCTCCCGTCGTCGAGGGAGGATGGAAGGGGATGTATCAACGTGCGTGTAACACGTGTCTGGGCTTCCTTTGTTTTGTTTGCTTGTTTCTGTTTGTTTGGGCTTCTTTTGTTTTGTTTATGTGTGGTTGTTTGGGTTTATTTTGCTTTGTTTTGTTTGCTTGTTTGCGTTTGTTTGGTCTTCTTTTGCTTTGTTTGCGTTTGTTTGGGCTCCTTTTGCTTTGTTTGTTTGTGGTTGTCTGGGCTTTTTTTATTTAGTTTTGTTTGACTGTGTTTATTTGGAGTGTATAATCGTTGTTTGTGTTTATGTGGTTTGTTTGTTATACACGAAGTCTAATATGAAAGCCCATGACATGTGACACTATATAATCACGGACATAGCAACACCCTTCACTTACAAAAATACCCCACTAATTATCTATCTATCTATCTATCTATCTAATCTTAATAGCCAATTATAACAAACCTCAAAATACAACACAAAAGCTAAAATACCCAGCCCTTTCAATTACATACAAAAATATTTAAACAATAATACCCAACACCTTCAATTAATAAAAAAGATTCATAATACTATAACACATCACGATATATGCAGCGCCTCCAATTAAGACAATTATATGAAAAAAAAAGGCGTATTTGACAGCACTACAACACTCTTAAAATATCTCAAGCACAGATCGCATTGCCTTTTCGACGGTCGTAGGCTCAAGGTATCGTTTTCGGACACGCAAAGAAGGAGGAGGAGGAGGGAGAGTGGGAGGAGGAGGAGGAGGGGGGGGAGGAGGAGGAGGAGGAGGAGGAGGAGGAGGAGGAGGAGGAGGAGGAGGAGGGGGAGGGGGAGGGGGAAGGGGAGGAGGAGGGGGAAGGGGAGGAGAGGGGGAGGAGGAGGAGGAGGAGGAGGAGAGGAGGAGGAGGAGGAGGAGGAGGAGGGAAGGGGAGGAGGAGAAGGAGGAGGTAGAGGAAGAAGAGGAGGAGGAGGAAGGGGGATGAGGAGGAGGAGGAGGAGGAGAGGAGGAGGAGGGAGAAGAGGAGAGGAGGAGAGAAAGAGAAAGGAGGAGGAGAGGGAGGAGAGGGAGAGGGAGGAGAAAGAAGAGGAGAAGGAGGGAGGAGGAGGGGAGAGAAAAGGAGAATGACAAGAAGGAAAAGAAGGAGAAGGAGGAGGAGGAGAAGAAGAAGAAGAACACGGAACAAACCCTTGCCTTCATTCTATCTTATTTTTCTTCTTTTCCTCTTCTAAAATTCCTTTTTCTTCCCCTCCCTTCACGCATTCTTCCCCAAGCGCGAAAGCTCAACGTGCGTGGATTTAGTTTCTCGTTTTTCTTCGTATTTATTCATTCCTTTATCTCTGTTATTCTTCTTTTAAGAGAGCTTAGATGGCTTGCGTAAACTCTTAGTCTCGAACACGTGACACGCCGGAGAATGTTTGTACCTCTTTATCTCCATGGTTTGTATTTTCTTTTATTAATTTAGTGAGCTGTTAATTCATTTAATTACTTATTTATTAATTCAATAATGTATTTTAAGTGTTACTTCATTTAATTACGTATTTATTCGTTGGTTAATGTATTTTTTTGATTCATTTAATTACGTATTTATTCGTTGGTTGATGTATTTTAAGAGCCTGGATTGTTTTAGCGCTAACATGTTATGTCGTGTTTTGTGCTTGTTTGACAAGTCAGGAATTCGGAACGGTTTCGGGTCTGGTTCCCGCCTTCGACACTCGCGCACGTGCCTGTGGGAGAAGGCATGTGCGTTCCCTCTCAAACATGCCTCGCCCTCCCCCTTCTTTCCCTTCTTCTTTCCCTTCTCTCTTTTCTCCCTTTCCCCTTCCCTTTCTCCTTCTCCTCCCCTTCCTTCTTTCCCCTCCCTTCTTCCCCTCCCCCTTCTTCTTACTCCTTCCCTCCCCCCTTCCCCTCCCCTATTCCCTTCCCTCCCCCTTCCCTTTCCCCTTCCCCTTGCCCCCCCCCCCCCGTCCTCGCACTCACCTGGGCGTCTGCTCCAAGTTGTCCTCGAGGGAGAGGTCCCCCCCGGCCTCCACGAGCAGCCTGAGGACCCTCCTGGAGCCCCTGTAGGCGGCGCCGTGGACGGGCGTGGAGCCGTTGGTGCCGCAGCGGCGGTTGGGGTTGGCGCCGAGCTTCAGGAGCAGCGCCACCACCTCGTTGTCGCCGCCGAAGGAGGCGCAGAAGAGGGGCGTCTGGCCGTGGGAGTTGACGCTCTCGATGTGCACACCTGCGGGAGGAAAGGACTGATGTCAGTATACAAAATAAGGGAATAAGTGTTTGGCAAGGAATAAAAAAGAAAGAAAGAGAAGCGGCAATCACACCCTGCAAAAATAGCCTATTTCTCGACCCACTTGAACAAAAAATAAGCACCGCCCGAACGGACGGAGCGAGCGAGCGCGCGTAACTCGAGCGGGAAAACCGACGTTCAAGAATATCTCGCGGCGTCCCCGGGGCGGCCGGCGACGCCTCTCGGGCAGCCGCGGTCGCAGGTCACGCGAGCGGCGAAACCCGAGCCCGGCGCAGCTGCCCCGCCATGTGCCGGCGCCGCTCGTGGCACGCCCGCGACGCACGGCGGAGGACTGCGCCCGCGGAAGAGGGCTGCAGGTTACACAACACGGAACATGAAGATAGTGATAAAATAGAAGCCTTTCCGTCAAAACAAAAACACTGAAATCCCTCCGCGTTTGCAGCAAGCACGCCGCAGACACTCAAAACACAAAAAAGCCCAACGACACAACGCCGCAGCGGAGAGAAATCCTACACCGCTGCCGAGCCTTCCTTCCTTCCTTCCTCCGGCGACGACCCGAGCCACGCGCGCGTCTCAGGCACTCCTCCAAGCAAGCACTGACCTTCCCAAGCCTCCTCAGCCGACGTCCTCATCCTTTCCTCCTCCGTTCCTTCCTCCTATCCCCTCCCTCCCCTCCCCCCTTCCTCCCTTCCTCCCCTTCATTTCCCTCCTCCTTCCTCCCCTTCCTCCTTCCCTCCCCTCCCCTCCTCCTCCCTCCCCCTCCCTACCTCCTCCCCTTCCTCCCTTCCTTCCTACCCTCCTTCTTCCTTCTTCCTCCCCCCTTCCCTCTGAATAGCAACCCCTCGTAGGACCTTGAATGGCGTCCTTTCTGCAGGCGACGAAGGGCCAAGGATGCGCGCCGCCGTCAACCTCCTTCTTTTTGTGTAGGAAGGACTCGCTGATTGACTCGTTGGGGTCCGTTGAAAGGGGGAGGGGGGGAGGGGGGTCCGTTGAAAGAAGGAGGGGTGAGAGGAGAGGGGAGAGGGGGTCTGCTGAGAAGGGGAGGGGGAGAGGGGGTCCAGGGGAGGGGGAGAGGGGGGTCCAAGGGGGAGGGGAGAGGGGTCCGTTGAAAGGGGGAGGGGGAGAGGGGGGTCCGTTGGGAAGTGGAGGGGGGAGAGGGGGGGGTCCGTTGGGAAGTGGAGGAGAGGAGAGGGGGGGAGTTGGGAAGTGGAGGGGTTAATGGGGGTGGGGCGGGAAGGGGGGGTTGGTTGGGGGAGGAGGAGGGGATTAATGTATTTTTTTTTTATGAGGGGGGTCAGTGCGGGGGGAGGGGGGAAGAAGAGGGGTCAATGGAGGAAGGGATGTTCGCGAGGGTAGGGGGTCGATGGGGGGGGGGGAGGGAAGGGAGGGGTCGTTGGAGGTCAAGTGGCCGATGTAGGTCAGCCTTGATTATGTCTTGGAAGTGTCAGGGATATTTGGCGATGGGGAAGGGGGGGGTAAGAAAGAAGGTGAGGAGTAGGAGAGGGAAGAAGGAGACGGAGATGAAGAAGGAGAAGGAAGGTGAGAGAGAAGAGGAAGGAAAGGGAGAGAGAAAGAGAGAGAGAGAAGAGAGAGAGAGAGAGAGAGAGAGAGAGAGAGAGAGAGAGAGAGAGAGAGAGAGAGAGAGAGAGAGAGAGAGAGAGAGAAGAGAGAGAAGAGAGAGAGAGAGAGAGAGAGAGAAAGAGACAGACAGACAAAGAATGAAAACAAATAAAAACAGAACCAAATAAAAAAACGAAAAAAACACACAAATCACCCAGACAAGAAACGAAAAACAAAAAACACTTTTTTTTTCCTTTCCCTTCCCCTTCCCCTCTTCCTTCTCCCGCAAAGTGACGTCACCCCCATACACACACAAAGAGCCGACGACGAAAATAAATAACAATAAATCTTAAAAAAAAATAACAGACACCATAACTGATTCTGGAAGGAAGGGCGTCTCACCAGATTCAAAGATAACACTTAAGAGGTCAGCGCCGAGCCAAAGACCAAGCGAGGAGGAAGCTGAGTCACCGAAATGCAGATCATATGCAAATTAGATTTTTTTATTATGCAAATTAGCTTTTTTTTTTTTTTTTTTTTTTTGGTCTCTCCTGTTTCATTCAGTGTTTCATTCAGATTACGAAGAGTACAAAGAGAGATAGATTCGAATAAAGGGAAGAATGAGGGGAGACAGCGAAATGGTCATGGAAATAAAAGAGTTAAAAAGGGAGAGGGAGGGGGGGGGGGAGAGGAGAGGGAGAGAGAGAAGAGAGAGAGAGAGATAGAGAGAAGAGAGAGAGAGAGAGAGAGAGAGAGAGAGAGAGAGAGAGAGAGAGAGAGAGAGAGAGAGAGAGAGAGAGGAGAGAGAAGAGAGAGAGAGAGAGAGAGAGAGAGAGAGAGAGAGAGAAGAGAGAGAGAGAGAGAGAGAGAGAGAGAGAGGAGAGAGAGAGAGAGAGAGAGGGAGAGAGAGAGAGGAGAGAGGCAGAGACCAGAGAGAGAGAGAAGAAAAAATAAATTGAGAGAAAAAAACTAGATTAAAAAATCACAAAATTAAATAAGAAAGAACGAATGATTGAATTTCAAAAGAAGGAACAAATAAACATCAACAACAACAAAATTCACTCAGGGCGGAAGGTGGCATCCATGACACTGACCTTCCGGGAATCTGCCAGTTTTATAGCCCAAAATGGCGCCCAGTCTGACATCCGCCGTGTGCTCTTTGTTACATAGCGAAGTCACGTGATCTATGGATGTATTTCTTTTTATCCTGTTTTCTCTGTCAAATTTCATAATAAATATATTGGAATTCATTCTAGAAAAGAAAATAGTTGTGTATGTTTGTTTTAGTATGATTTTCTAAGGGATTCGGTGATTCGTCGAGATGTATGTCACGTGATTACCCCAACGAGCCAATCAGGAGTCGGTGATTCGTCGAGGACAGGTCACGTGATCACCGGAACAAGCCAATCAGAAGGTGCGTTTGAATGTTATGGTTCATCGGCTTAACATTCCAGTCAAATTAACCTTTCTGTCAAGTCCATACACAAAGATAGGAAGGTAAATAAATAAAATCTGATAAAGAGAGGGAGAGAGGGTGAGGAAGGGAGGGGGAGGGAAGAGAAGAAAAAGAAGGAAAGAAGAGAGAGAGAGGGAGAGAGAGAGAGAGAGAGAGAGAGAGAGAGAGAGAGAGAGAGAGAGAGAGAGAGAGAGAGAGAGAGAGAGAGAGAGAGAGAGAGACAACAGACAGACAGACAGACAGACAGACAGACAGACAGACAGACAGACAGACAGACAGACAGAACAGACTGACAGACAGACAAATAAAGAAAGAAAGAGACAATAACAATAATAATAATAATAATTAATAATAATAATAATAATAATAATAATAATAATAATAATAATAATAATAATAATAATAATAAATAACAATAATGAATAAATAAATAAATAACAATAATAATAATAAGAAAATTAAAACGAGATCCTAAATTTACAAAAAAAACTCTCGACCCCAACAACGACCAAAAGTCCCCGACACCCAAACAAAATAACAACGACCTAAAAGCGACTCCATTTTTTTTATTACACGAACGCGACGACAGCGCAGTCATGACCGCCGACGGGGAGATGACGTCATCAGAGAGGGAGTCAGGACGCAAAACGACCTGTCAAGCCAACTGCCAATCCTTGCCATATCTGTCATATTGGCATAAGGGAGAACTGGGGATTGGATGAGGGAGAAGAAATAGAGACGTGGAGGAAGAGGGAAGTGGAGGACGTGGAGGAAGAGGGAATGAAATGGAATGGAGATGGAGGAGAGAGAGAGAAGAAACAGACGTGGAGAATGAGGAGGAAGACGAGGAGGAGGAGGATAAAAATGATGAAGAACAGAAAGAGGAAGAAGAAAAAGATCATGATAAAGATGATGATGAAGAAGAGGAGGAGGAAGAATAATAATATCATGATAAAGAAGGTGATGAAAAGAAGAGATAAGAGGAAGAAGAAGAAAAAGAAGAACAGGAAGAAGTGGCCACCGAAACAAGAGAAAAGAAAACCGAAGAAAGAAGGAAAATCCAGGGAGAAAGGAGAAGAGGGAGACACGAAGAAAGGAGAGAAGAGGGAAACAAAAGAAAGGAGACGACGAGGAGAAAGAAGTAAAACAAGTTCACGGACAAGAAACACCGAAACAGCAAAGGACATGTACGTGGATAATGCAGAAACACAATAAACGATAACAACAAGAAAATAGTCTCACTTAAGGGGCTCAGCTTATAGGCCTAATTATCGTAAGAGTACGAGAAGGCTGAATAAAGACAAATAAAGAAAAAAATGAATATGAAAAGAAGGAAATAACACATAGAAATCAAACAGTCAATTTTCAACACCAACACAATAATAATAATTATAAAAATAATAACAACAAAAACTAATAGTAATATCAAGGATAACAACAACAACAACAATAATAATATAAAACAGAACAATAATTCTAAAAATGATAAACAACAACAATAATAAAAGCTAATAATGATAATAAAATAGACAAAAAATAATTTTTACCAGAATACCACCCAGCCACCCCAACGGCGCCAACCCACCACATATAAACGGTGTTGTTCCCCTCCCCTCAATTCACACCCCTCCTCTGCAATGAATGACCCCACCCCCGCACCCCCTCCTCCCCATCAAAGAATCACCGGTTCCCCCCCGCCTCCTCCCCCTACTTTTAGGGATGGACATCGCCCCGGCAACTATTGCGAGAGCGAACACTGTATTCCGGCTGAAGGGGAAGAGTGGGGAAGGAGGGTAAGAGGAGAGAGGAAAGAAAGGAGGAGGAAGAGGGAAGGAAAGGGAGGAGGAGGTAGAGAGAGAGAGGGAAGGAGGAGGGTAGAGGAAGGAGAGGGAGGAGGTAGAGGAAGGGGGAAGGAGTAGAGGAAGGAGGGGAGGAGGAGGTAGAGGAAGGAGGGGAGAGGAGGGAGAGGAAGGGTAAGGGGGAAAAGAAGGAGAGATGGGAAGGGGTGAAGGAAAGGACAAGTGGGAAGGGGTAAGGAAGAGAGGGGAAAGAGAGGAGGGAGAAGGGGAAAGAGGGATAAGTGAATAGGGGAAGGGAAAGAAAGAGGGAGAAGGGATGGGAAACGGAAAGGGAGATAGGAGGAAAGGGAGAAGGGAAAGAGGAATCAGAGAGAAGGAAAAGAGATCAAGAGATCAAGAAGAATAAAGAAGGATTAGAGAAGGGGGAAGCGAAAGGGGATAGAGGGAGCGAAGGGAAATAGGGGAAGGGGAAATGAGGGGAGGAAGAGGGAGGAGTTTATGCAAATTGAATATGCAACATTGCACCTGTTGAAGGGTCCGACCCCACCAGGTGATGTGCGTGTTACCGGGAGAGGGAGGGAGAGGAGGGAGGAAAGGAAGAGGAGGAGGGGGGAAGGAGGGGGAGGGAGGAAGAGGGGGGAAGGGAGGAAGAGGAGGGGGGGAGGGAGAGGGGGGAGGAGGGGAGGGGAGGGGAAGAGGGGAGGGGAAGGAGGGGAGGGGGAAAGTGGAGAGGAGGGGGGAGGGAGAGGAAAGAGAAGGAGAAGAGGAAAAGGGAGTGGAGAGGAGTGGGAGGAAGAGGGAGGGGGGAAGGAATAGAGAGGAAGAGGAGGAAAAAAAAGAGAGGATGACTAGAGATCCAAAATAAAAAAAAATATGAGTTTTAAAGTTTAAAAGATGAGGTTAAGTGACGCGAAGTTAGACGGTAAAAGAAAAGTTAAAAAGGAAGTTAATTTTGAAGTTTTAAAGGGTGAGTTAAATGAGAAGTTAGAAGGCTAAAAAAAGTTAAGTTAAAAAGGAGAGTTTCAGTTGAGTGAAGCTAAAAGGGTGAAATTAAAAGGGCGAAGCTAAAAAAGAATGAAGTTATTAGGGTGCAGTAAGAAAGAAGTTACTAGGGTGAAGTCAAGAATGAAGTTAACAGGGTGAAGTTAAAAACGAACTTAATAGATGCAGTTAAGAACGAAGTTGGGAAAGAAAAAGGTGAAACTAAAAACGACGAATTTAAACAGCAAAATGAGGAGGGTGAGGTTAAGCGAGTGAAGTTCAAGGCGACACCACTTCACGGATCTCTGAACAAGGAGAGAGCGAGAGGATGTGCGTATCTGATACCATTTTGTTCATTTTGTTTCACCTGTTCAACCCTCCTTCTCTCCTGTTCTGTCGACTGAACATCCTTTTGGCGGGATTTCTTTCGTTATTCTATTCGAGTAATGTCTTCGTTTGTTTGTTTGTTTGTAGCGGGCGTTGTTGGCGTATATTTATTTGTATTGATCTATTTTCTTCTTACCTCTCTTATTTCCCGTTCGTTATCTGTCCATCCATTTATCTATTTACATTTCTTTACGTTATCTTTTCATTCTCCTTGTTCCTTTTCTCTCCTTCGTTTGCTACCTGTACCCCCCCCCTCCCACTTTGTTAAATGTGTCTCCTATTTCTGTTCCTGTTCTCCTTCCTCTCTGTCTGTCTGTCTGTCTGTCTGTCTTTGTCTCTGTCTGTCTCTGTCTGTCTCTGTCTGTCTCTGTCTGTCTCTGTCTGTTCTGTCTGTCTGTCTGTCTGTCTGTCTGTCTGTCTGTCTGTCCTGTCTGTCTGTCTGTCTGTCTGTCTGTCTCTCCTCTCTCTCTCTCTCTCTCTTCTCTTCATCTCTCTCTCTCTCTCTTCCACACACACACACATATTCCCTTCCTTTCCTCCATCTACCCTTGCCCGCGTCTCTCCTCCTCTCTCTCTCCTCTCTCCTCTCTCTCTCTCTCTCTCTCTCTCTCTCTCTCTCTCTCTCTTCCTCTCGTCCCTTCCTCCTATCTCAATTCCACCTCCCCCACTCCTCTCCTTCACCTCCTGACACTTCCTCACTCCTCTTCCACCATTCCCATCCTCCTGGGGTGTTCCATTAAGGGGCCTCCGCTTCTTTTAATACAAGAAGGAAATTGGTACTTCCCCCCTCCTCCCCCCCCCGCCCCATCTACCACCCCCTCCAACCCGCGCTTCTAGAAAAAAGAGGGGAAAAAATCTGCGTTCTTCTCATCTCTTTCTCTTTTCTACACTCTTCCTCTTTTCCGTGTTTGTCCGTGTTCTCTGTCTGTCTGTCTGTCTGTCTGTCTGTCTGTCTGTCTCTGTCTGTCTGTCTGTCTGTCTGTCTGTCTGTCTCTCTCTCTCTCTCGCAAATCCCTGAAATCATTAATCCTTTTCTCTTTCTTCTCGTTTAATTACCCTTCCTCTTCCTCTCCCTCCTCCTCCCCTCTCTCCCTTCTCCTCCTCCTCCTCCTCCTCCTTCTCCACATTCATACTCACACAAACACATCCCCACTTTTCACTCACTCGACAAACAACCCAATCACTCAATCACGCCCCTCCCCCTCCTCCTTCCGCCCCCCCCCTCCTCCAAATCAGCCAATGCCCCCCTCTCCTACCCCTCCCCTCTTCCAAATCTGGACGCCCCCCCCCCTCCTCCAAATCAGCCAATCCGAAGTCTCTACGACCACTCGAATCCGTTCAAGGAAATCCCGTCCTACCTTAGTCCTGAAATTAGCGTTCTTTTTTTTTTTGTTTTTTGTTTATTTTTTTCGTTTTTCTAATCGTCGGAAACAACCGGTCCATGGCCTTTGAAACAAGCGCAT